GGCAACGATTACTGAATATTGTAGGCTCGCATATGCTTCCAATACGTTCATTTGAACCAATTCCATGACCCCATACTAAAACTGTGTATTAACTTTAATTGTATGTCTTTTGCTTCGTATTTTCTCATACTTTCTTGATGTATCATGCTGTTCTCATAATAGTTTCCTTCTTGTCTGGACGATAACATTATAAGGAATCTTGAAACGATATGATATATGTCTAATAAACACAATACACAAGGAGATGTTATAGATGGTTTGTACGAAAGGATAGTCTTGCAATTGGAGGTCAAATACAGAGAGACAATTGTAAAACATTTTTATTTCAAACCGATACAAAGTTACTGGATAACACTTTGTAAAAGAGGCAATTGTACCATAAAGTAAAACATCTAACATTCTGAAATACTGAATTTTAAACTTACTAAGAATTATACGTAACAATTCACTGCTTAGCCACGCGCAATCTTCAGAAGTGTAGAAATATGATATTGTCTTACCAATCATAGGGCAAAATATACACCATCCAATAGATTTGAGTAAACTCTAACAAAAGTTAAATATTTGAAAGTAACCAATAACAAAGATTTAAATACAATAATAGACTATGCATCCTTTGATACATTTTAGGTGCACATTATTTATTCAATCGTAAACGTACTGAGAGTGCAACGTACTTAACGGTTTCATTGAACTAATAGGTTAAACATAAATCCAAGAGGGTGTACTCATTTTGGTCGGATATTTCGTCTATCACGGTTACAGCAATATTTAATAAAACAGTTTAAATTAAGATCCTTGATATATATATATGTATATATATATTCATATTACCTGAGCAATGTAAGGTATGTCTTCATGTATGTATATCCGAAGGGTGATGTCTTCCCCAAGTGCCATGTCAACGGGAAGGAAAGGGGTGCACGCCATTCGTTTACCAAGAGCATGATGATGAAGCTTTATTGGTATCCATAGCTGTACGTTTTCCTTAATTACAGATGTGGCATCTATGACGAGGTTTATTTCCTTTTCTTTAATGATACATTGCGTATCACTGTCATCGCGGTGAACTGTAAATAATGACATATTGACAGGAAAAAAAATATAATACAAATCTGTTTTTTTAGCGTTCTTTTGTAAGACCGTAATTGATTTGATAACTTTGATAATTCTTTAGTTTCTTGCTAATTGTGTACTTTACAACATTTGCCCTTATAAGTAGGCTAATGATACATTTGAGAAAATGATGATATAAAATGGAGATTCGATGAAAGATAAATGTATAAATAGGTGAGTGAGGAATGTATGCACAATAATCTTTGAAAGCTGCAGCGCACCTCTTGTTTTGATCAAAATTAATATTTATAAATTAACTGTTTTACTGCGCCAATCATGGGGTCACTTGAATTTAACGTGGCAAATCTTGAGCAGTAGTATTTTGTGTTTGCAAATCCTTGCAATCCTCCTATTGACAACTAACCTGATGTTGATTCAGTTTGTTTCCAGATAATGTCAGCATGAAAATCGTTTGACTTCAGCAATGTTGCGGCATGAGGGAGACTTAACGTTATAGGCTGGTTCTTAGAATAGCGCCACTGCGCAGGGAATGTGATGCCAATGCCATGGCCTGTAAGAAACTCTCTCTCTCGGATAGGTGGGGGATCATCAGTAACTAGAGCAATAGAAACATCGTGGCAAGAGCCAGCCTGCACTGTCCGTGGTGGAATCGACATTGTCACGTCACAGCTATCCAGATGTAGAATTCCTCCTTCACAGCCAATAGTGCGATGACTTTCAGTAGATCTTGCAATCGGCAGATCTAACATAGATTACGATAACAGGAAAAAGAAAAGGTAAATTATATCATCTGATGATAGCGTCATGATTAATCATTCCATATCACACGAATCGATATCCTGAAACGCACATCGTTTTATCAACGATGTACGAATGCTAAGTTAACAAATCGTCGAATCTATTTTGATGCCCGAATAAAGCCGCACTATTTAATTATCTCATACCTAAAGAGAATTTTAAATTCTAAAAGATGTATTTTGATTTTGGAGAAATATAAAGCGCAGAAACTATTACCTTTGTTTAAACCTTTTCGATATGCATGAAACGGGGAGGGGTGTGGTTGTATTGTCCTTTATTTAACTTTGAGAGCAATCGAGAAATAAAACAATTCAAAAATTAGACGAAATACGTACCCCGGAATGTGTGAACATCATCTTCGGATAATCTGCCAAAAGAACCAAAAATATTTTGTCCGAGTCTATAATGTTGATGTATAACCTATCATACATCCTGTTTTACGCCGTAGCATATCTTTTATATTACAATCATGTATCAACATTGTTTTGATTATTGCGACTGAAATGTCATAATGCACAATTATAATGTTTTAAAGTTAAAGGCCAGTTCTGGTAATGCCATTGCGTTGTGAACGAAAAGTTGTGGAATGGATCAGAAAAGGTTCATCATCTAGTGTATAAGTATAGGTGTTTACTGCAAGGTTTTGGAATCATCAAAATGACAACAAATTTGGCCCAGTCTTGGTAAAGTTATAAGCACTGTACACAAAAAGATGTATTTGGGAGTACGCGACACGTGCAAGACACGTGCGTGTTATCTATCAGGTCCTAAAATATATAATAATTTACCAAATATATCAATTAGTTGGCGGTTTCCCGACAAAATTTGTCTTATCACGTATTAGTCAAAAAATATTCTTACACATGACTAGTAATTAGTGCTTACATTTCATTTTTTTTTTTTGAGAGAGGGGCGTTTCCAAAACTGGTCTTTACCTGAAATGATTGATGTTTAAAGACAAATAAAATAGGTAGTCGACAAACCAGATGAAAAATTAAAAATAAATCTTTTAAAGGAGACATGCAAGAATTGTGTAGAAATGAGTACATTAATTACGCAGATAATTTATTTCAGTTTATTCATTCATTATTGAAGAATTAAATCTTGAATAATATTGATATTTTGTTCTCACCTCCGGAATACCATTTGCCTAATGCGCTCACTTCTGGCATACTGTACAGGGGTAAACCCGTAGTTATCCTTGATGTCGATCTTGGATCCTTGATTTATAAGATATTGTATCAGAGCTTCAGCGGGGGATATGTCATCATCGCTCTCTTGTTGTATCTATTTCGTTAATGAAAACGTTAAACAAAATGGATTGAAATGTTTATTTTTATTAAAACAAAACAGAGAGGGTATGTATTTAATAAATTGCATATTAACAAACATTTATAAAGTTTATATCAAAGGCCTGGTCCTTCCCATATTCAGTACATGTATGTAAACAGATAAATAAATAAATCACGCGCGTTCGCACACATGAGAGTGTATGCGTGTGTGTGACGATTAGATAGACTAACAGTTCTCTCTAAAGAGAAACTTAAACAAGAAATACGTAACCTGCTTCAAAGCTGTCGTCACTTCAACCTGTCTTTTCTTACAGTGGCATAGTCTGATGGCATCATGTAAGGGCGTCTGGCCATCGTGTGACTGATGATTTAAACCAGCACCTAGTGATATCAACTTTTCAATGATTGATGTTAGCCCGCTTACAGTAGCAAGGTGAATGGGTGTTAGACCAGCACTGTCGCTGTGATGTATAGATGATGTATCCTGTGAAAAAGAAAAAGAAATAATTGATGGAACTTGAATATTGTCACTCAATGGTGATTTACCTTTTATGAATTTTGATTTAGTCTATATTATCATATATGATTAGCGCTATCCATACAAAGATAAAAGACATACAAATAATTTCACTCGATAAATAAAACTCTGTTGTCAAACATTCATTATTATCATTATCATTATATAATAATGTGATATACATTTACTATTGGCTTGTTATAACCTTCATAAAGAGATGATACTTATTTAGGATTACTATCGGCAGGCCTAACAGCATAACTGTGTAACAAGAACGTGTTGATAATGCTACGTGTACACTATGTTCCCGGCGGCCACAGCAGCCCCGTTTGCCCGAAACGTAGTGCGCCGTGGGATTTAGACCAATTTTATCTCTGGATTCAAGTTTTGTTATAAGTCTTCCCAAGTTTTCTCACGGGCCTTGGGGGGAAGGGGATGCTAAGTCCCGGAGGCTCCAAGGCGCACTACGGTTCGGCCCGCGTTCTACCACGGATGACAGAACGTTCCCTCCCGGCCCGTCACGTTTTGATGGGGTCCCTCACGTTTTTCACGTTCTGATCAAGTTCTGACACGATTTTCACGTTCTGTCAAGGCTTTCTACGGATGAAACGTGGACGCCGGGCAGCTTTGGAGCACGATTGTGCCCACGGTATAAAAAGAAGGCCTCCCAAGCACTACAGGTGGTGGTGCAGTACGGAGGGTTTTCAAACATTTTGGCTTCTTCGGTGGCATAGCTTGACCTTCTTTCTTCGTATTGTAGATTCAGTAATGTGTCGTCGATTGCTCAGACTCGAATGAAGCTCCTGCCGCGCCCGTCTTTTATATACAACCTCCCGACCGCGTGCGCCGTGTCAGAACGCAACGCGCCGCGCTCGTAAACCGTCAAACGCCGGGATGCGCCGTGATTAACGCAACAAAACGGCTACCATACACCCTGGCCTGCCGTGAGAACCGTGGCAGACCGTGGCAAAACGAGGCAAAACGGGACAAAATGCGCAGCAACCGTGAAGCAACCGTGAAGCAACCGTGACAAAACGTGAACTAAACGTGGCAGACCGTGACAAAACTTGAACAGACCGTAAGATGCCGGGGAATGTGCGGGCCTCCCGTCCCACTACGGACCACCTCCAAGTTTTGTTACGGCCTATTACGGACTGTCACGTTTTGTTACGTTCACCCCGTTTTACGACGGCCTACTAGGTTTCTCACCCGCACCGTGACTGCCGTGGCAATTTTTTTGACAGTTTAAAAATCTGACACGGTATCCACGGCAATCATGGCCTGTCACGTTTGCCCATACGGTCCCCCGCGTTGTTTCACGTCAATCCCGTTTCGTCCACGGTGGCCTGAAACGTGGTTGCCGTGGTCGCCGGGAACATAGACTGTAAATGTAGTATAAAGAGTACAAAGTAGAGGTATTGGGTGGGATAGTATGGGAGATGATGGTACTGATGGTAATACATCAGCTATATGACAGAAGTCATACGAATAAACTTGACAAGCTGAATAAGTAAAAGATACATGTACCTTATCAAGAAGAATCCGAGCAGTATCGTCATTGCCAGAGCTTAGTGCAATACCTATTGGTGACTGGCCTCTCCTAGAAAGTTTCGTGCTCATAATTGATTTCCGGTCCAGTAAATCCTTCATTACTGCTTCATTCCCACTTTATTAAAACAAGAAGACATATTGTATATATATATATATATATTCACTACATAAGTCCTTCAAATGATGCTGTACTTTCAGCGTCATTAGACGGACATGTGTAGTGAACAAATTAGTCATTAAGCAGACAAGGATATTAGCAGGACATTTTCGTGTCCTGTTAACGATTGAATAATAGAAGTAGTGCCCTCAACGTACGTTTGCAGGCAGAGGAAACCTAAAGTCATCCCAAGAAACAATAGGTTTAATTATTAGTCACTGGTTTAATTAGTAATATTGTTTTGAATTTAGGGTTAAGGTAATATACCGGTTTACATGATATCCGGTTAATGCACCATGTAGGGTGATATATAGTTGTCCTGTTAATACAAGATGTAGGGTTATACCGTGTGAGTCAAACAAAAGCTTACACCTGGAAAATTGTTAATTTTTTTAAAAATCATCTATGGACAGTAAAGTGTTGTACATCTTATGAAAGAGTGTTTTATCCCAAATCATTTGGTATCATTTTTGTGTGGTATTTGTTTACGCTTGGATGAACATGAGGCATTGTTTGCGAGAGTGCAAAAATCGACTTGCACCAAAGTGATGCCTATAGCATGTATTATGTTGGGATTAGCGGAGTGAGAGAATGAATTGAATGTATCAAATGGAATGCATTGGATATGCTTTTGGCAGAAGCAAATTCACACACAAAGACCATCACACATGTACGTTGATATTTGATATTTGATATTTGATATGTGTGGCATGATTAATTTTGTTAGGGATGTTATTTAGATCTGCAAAGACCGAATTAATACCCAAACCCAATTGTTTTATTCAAACATCACACAAGCAACTTTGGCGCAAATCGATTTTCTAGGTGTAATTTTTGTTTTTGACTCACACTGTATATACTTATATGTATTACTAAATTTTGGAATCTCAGACCGCTTCATGGACAGTTAAAATTATCTGTTTATAATTAGTAACAGCTTGATTCTGAAATCATAGATGAAATTATATTTGGTCTGAGACTGGCGAACTATGTTCACATCATGTTTTTTCCGGATTCAAAGTACATAACTTTGTTTCAATAAAAGGTGATGTAATTGTAGCGGAACCTTTGGTTGTGTTTCATTCATTTGTAAATCTACATGGCCTGTGCAACCGCTAATAAACCGACCCTTAAAATGGGATCAGAGGAAATAACATGTTAAAACCTATGTTAAGAAGACTAAGAACAGTTATTTGCTGTCATAAACATCATGAACGTTTTTTTTTTTTTTTTTTTTTACAATATTACTATAGAATCATAGTGATATTTATGATACAGTCAAGGAGAAAATTACTAGTTCAATTAGTATAGTTCACCTTGCTGCAGCATAATGGAGGGTTGTCCAACCTTCTGCATCTTCTTTTTCAATATCTGCATTGTTTTCGAGTAGCAAACGTGCGCAGTCCAGATGTCCTCCTCTTGCGGCAACCATGAGTGATGTGACACCTTTTAAGGTCTGAAGATAAATTATATCGGTACGCTGATTACAGTTTTGAGTAGGTCTATCATAAAATGTATGTACTCCTAATCTAGTTTGCTCGATGATTAAAGTTTACCCTACATAAGAGACAATTAGGGAGAGTATGGAAAGCTTAATGACTTGGATTATCATTGTGTTGATAGAAAACGTCTCTTACTTACCACAAGTTTCGGAAGTGTATCTTTTCGACATTAAGATTTACATATTATCATAATTATTGGGGATATTTCTTGTTACACATATCTTCAGCACTTCTAGAAATCAATCATTATTTCTGGAACATGACATTTAAGAAGCTTCGTGCTGAATAAGGTGATATCTCACTTCTGATATCCTATTAGCCAGTCCGAATCCCAGATTATGTGCTAAATACGCACAACTTAGAACAATATAATGTCATCTCCGGTAGCGGATTTTGTGTCTCTTTTTTTGAATTTTGCTTTCGTCCAGAGCAACTGGACCTTATTCAAAGGAATAAACTGGTAGTTTAAACATCAACGTGGAGCCCATCCCTTGTTAAAAGAACATCTAAGCTGTTCACACATTGGACATCTTTCGTATGGGGATGCATGTTGAACACTATAATCACATATTAACCACTGCATTTGCTTGCATACCACACAATTCTTTTACATATTGATATCTGAATGGCTTTTACTAAACGGTCGAGGAGCGGAGCGAATCGACGAACTGCCCAAAAATTTGCCACCAATTAGTGTATGGTGTCTTCAAAAGTTTATGTCAATGAGAAAATTATAAACACGCCCTCCTTACATTATTTCCCCGATTTCAGGCAATCAGACACTAAAGTAAAGATTTAAATTATAACAATGAAAATATTAAAGTTTCAAAATTGAGGAAAGTTAAAAAATCGTTTATTTAAAGGGGCACGTTCCCCGTATTCCAGAGGATGTTCAGAATACGTACGTGCTGGCGGACGGTGCTATCTGCCTATTGACATCAACATAATACGGCTCTTACGCAGACGGCATGTTCTGAATGCCGAACAATGCCGATTATCGCATACATGTAAAGTAATACCAATCGCAGTTCGGCTCTAAGATTCGGCTGCTGTTTCCGCCCACTTTCGTGACGTCACAATCGGCAGCGATAAGCTGGCTTGGCGATTGACAGCTGTATGCAAATTAGAAGTCGATCTTCGGAACCAAGATGGCGATGACTAGATCAGCGATAACTACACTGGCGGGAAGTCCCCCTTTGAACTACTCCCATCCAAATTTAGAAACTTATTCATTGTTCTCATGGACTCCATATTTTCAGATGAATTCTGAATCTATAACGCCAATACCATAATTATTTTGCTATATGATTTTGTTATTATTCTTATTCCTACTCTAATTCCCAATCTTTTAACATCAAATTCATGATTCGCCCGCAGACGTGTAATTGAGACATTGATCAGACTGCATGCATTCCTGGCAACTACCACTGGACAATTATCCTCTGCCAATTACCCACCGAGAACATTTACACTCAGAACAACTACACCAAGAGCAATACTTCTGGGACAATTACATTCCAGTTACGTCCTGGGAGTAGTTGTCCGCGGCTACAGTTTAATATGTATTTAAATACCCTGATTATTGGAACATATTGCGTCAATGAGAAAAATAACTCATGGATTCAATAGTTATTTTTCAAATTGTGTGGATAAGGAAAATTAAGAAATATTTAACTTTTTCTCAACTTGTAGACTTCATTTTTTCATTAGAATGCTCTAAATCATTACTCGGGTATCTGAAAGCCTCGAAATCGGGTAACTCATCACGAGGGACCATTTTTCACTTTTTCTAATTGTGTGGATAAGGAAAATTAAGAAATATTTAACTTTTTCTCAACTTTTAGACTTCATTTTTTCATTAGACTGCTCTATATCATTACTCGGGTATCTGAAAGCCTCGAAATCGGGTAACTCATCACGAGGGACCATTTTTCACTTGTTCAAATATTGTGGATATGGAAAATTAAGAAATATTTAACTTTTTCTCAACTTTTAGACTTCATTTTTTCATTAGAATGCTCTAAATCATTACTCGGGTATCTGAAAGCCTCGAAATCGGGTAACTCATCACGAGGGACCATTTTTCACTTGTTCAAATATTGTGGATATGGAAAATTAAGAAATATTTAACTTTTTCTCAACTTTTAGACTTCATTTTTTCATTAGAATGCTCTAAATCATTACTCGGGTATCTGAAAGCCTCGAAATCGGGTAACTCATCACGAGGGACCATTTTTCACAAACTTTCCCTCTGAGACAGCACACGTGACGACACCAGACAACAAATTGGTGGTGAAATTTCGACCAGCGCGCCGGGCTGTGACCGACTGTTAAGTAAAATAAGTTTAAATTGAGCACAATACCTGAAGTCCCACTTTAAGTGCGTTGTGACCGTTTCCCGGTGTACCGTGGTTGCTGTTTTTCTGAAAATATTCCAATGATTCCAAATGACCATTATCTGCTGCGAAATGAGAAACTGTCCAACCGTAATTATTGCGTGCCTCGATATCTGCTCCTTTCGTAATGAGATATTTGATAATATCAAGGTAACCCCCACGGGAAGCAGCCTGAAGTGGTAGATCACCATCAGTTGCTGCTTTCGTGACATCAGCTCCTGCATTTACTAAACATTCAACAACATCAAGATGGCCTTTCTGCGAAGCAACATGTAGAGGTGAAAAGCCGTTGTTATCAACAGTATTTGGGTTCGCTCCCTGAGAAATAAGATAGTTTACAACGTCTACTGCACCATTATCTGATGCTACATAAAGAGGTGTTACACCAATTTTGTTTGCTTTGTTTACATCAGCTTCTGCATTTACTAGGAATTCAACAACATCGAGATGACCTAATCCAGAGGCAATGAACAGGGGTGTATAACCATCGTTATCAACTAAATCCAGGTTTGCCCCTTTAGAAATGAAACATTTTACAACGTCTACTGCACCATTAGATGATGCCGCATGAAGAGGTGTGAAACCAATCGTTGCTGCTTTCTTGACATCAGCTCCTGCATTCACTAGAAATTCAACAACATCAAGATGACCCTCTTCTGAGGCAATGTACAGGGGTGTTTCAACATCATTATCAACCAAATCCAGGTTCGCCCCTTTAGAAATGAGATATTTTACAACGTCTACTGCACCAGTTTCTGATGCCGCATAAAGAGGTGTCCTGCCTTTCTCCGTTGCTTTGTTTACATCAGCTCCTGCATTCACTAGACATTCAACAACGTCAAGATGACCCTCTTCTGAGGCAAGGTACATGGGTGTACGACCATTGTTTACAACTGAATTCGGGTTTGCTCCTTGATATATTAAATATTTCACAATGTCTACATGACCTTTACCTGACGCCACATGAAGAGGTGTTGCGCCACTCTTTGCTGCTTTCTTGAAATCAGCTCCGAAATTCAAAAGACGTTCAACAACTTCGAGATGACCCTCTTGTGAGGCAATGCACAGGGGTGTAAAACCATCGTTATCCCCGGAATTCGGGTTTACTTCTTGAGCAATTAGATATTTTACAATGTCTACATGACCCAAACATGACGCAGCTCGAAGAGGTGTCCAACCTTCATTCATTGCTTTCTCCACATCAGCTCCTGCATTCACTAGACATTCAACAACGTCAAAATGACCCTCTTGTGATGCAATGAACAGGGGCGTAATACCATCGTTATCAACTAAATCCAGGTTTGCCCCTTTAGAAATGAGACATTTTACAACGTCTACTGCACCATTAGATGATGCCGCATGAAGAGGTGTCCTGCCTTTCTCCGTTGCTTTGTTTACATCAGCTCCTGCATTCACTAGACATTCAACAACGTCAAGATGACCCTCTTCTGAGGCAAGGTACATGGGTGTACGACCATTGTTTACAACTGAATTCGGGTTTGCTCCTTGAGATATTAAATATTTCACAATGTCTACATGACCTTTACCTGACGCCACATGAAGAGGTGTTGCGCCACTCTTTGCTGCTTTCTTGAAATCAGCTCCGAAATTCAAAAGACGTTCAACAACTTCGAGATGACCCTCTTGTGAGGCAATGCACAGGGGTGTAAAACCATCGTTATCCCCGGAATTCGGGTTTACTTCTTGAGCAATTAGATATTTTACAATGTCTACATGACCCAAACATGACGCAGCTCGAAGAGGTGTCCAACCTTCATTCATTGCTTTCTCCACATCAGCTCCTGCATTCACTAGACATTCAACAACGTCAAAATGACCCTCTTGTGATGCAATGAACAGGGGCGTAATACCATCGTTATCAACTAAATCCAGGTTTGCCCCTTTAGAAATGAGACATTTTACAACGTCTACTGCACCATTAGATGATGCCGCATGAAGAGGTGTCCTGCCTTTCTCCGTTGCTTTGTTTACATCAGCTCCTGCATTCACTAGACATTCAACAACGTCAAGATGACCCTCTTCTGAGGCAAGGTACATAGGTGTAAGACCATTGTTTACAACTGAATTCGGGTTTGCTCCTTGAGATATTAAATATTTCACAATGTCTACATGACCATTACCTGACGCCACATGAAGAGGTGTTGCGCCACTCTTTGCTGCTTTCTTGAAATCAGCTCCGAAATTCAAAAGACGTTCAACAACTTCGAGATGACCCTCTTGTGAGGCAATGCACAGGGGTGTAAAACCATCGTTATCCCCAGAATTCGGGTTTACTTCTTGAGCAATTAGATATTTTACAATGTCTACATGACCTTTACCTGACGCCACATAAAGAGGTGTTGCGCCACTCTTTGCTGCTTTCTTGAAATCAGCTCCGGAATTCAAAAGACGTTCAACAACTTCGAGATGACCCTCTTGTGATGCAATGAACAGGGGCGTAATACCATCGTTATCAACTAAATCCAGGTTTGCCCCTTTAGAAATGAGACATTTTACAACGTCTACTGCACCATTAGATGATGCCGCATGAAGAGGTGTCCTGCCTTTCTCCGTTGCTTTGTTTACATCAGCTCCTGCATTCACTAGACATTCAACAACGTCAAGATGACCCTCTTCTGAGGCAAGGTACATGGGTGTAAGACCATTGTTTACAACTGAATTCGGGTTTGCTCCTTGAGATATTAAATATTTCACAATGTCTACATGACCATTACCTGACGCCACATGAAGAGGTGTTGCGCCACTCTTTGCTGCTTTCTTGAAATCAGCTCCGAAATTCAAAAGACGTTCAACAACTTCGAGATGACCCTCTTGTGAGGCAATGCACAGGGGTGTAAAACCATCGTTATCCCCAGAATTCGGGTTTACTTCTTGAGCAATTAGATATTTTACAGTGTCTACATGACCTTTACCTGACGCCACATAAAGAGGTGTTGCGCCACTCTTTGCTGCTTTCTTGAAATCAGCTCCGGAATTCAAAAGACGTTCAACAACTTCGAGATGACCCTCTTGTGAGGCAATGCACAGGGGTGTAAAACCATCGTTATCACCAGAATTCGGGTTTACTTCTTGAGCAATTAAATATTTTACAATGTCTACATGACCCCAACATGACGCAGCTCGAAGAGGTGTCCAACCTTTATTCGTTGCTTTCTCCACATCAGCTCCTGCATTCACTAGACATTCAACAACATCAAGGTGACCCTCTTGAGAGGCAATGTACAGGGATGTACAACCACCGTTATCAACCGAATTCATGTTGGCCCCTTTAGAAATGAGACATTTTACAATGTCTACATGACTTTTACCTGACGCCACATAAATAGGTGTCCTGCCATCATCTGCTGCTACGTTTATATCCCCTCCCGCATTCACCAGATATTCGACAACCTGAAGCTGACCCTCTTTAGATGCAATGTGCAGGGGTGTGACACCACAATTATCAACCGAATCGGGGTTTGCTCTGTGAGAAATGAGATATTTTACAATGGCTTCATGACCTCTACCTGATGCCACATACAGAGGTGTAGCGCCATTCTTTGCTGCTTTGTTCGTATCAGCTCCTGCATTCACTAGACATTCGACAACCTGCAAATAACCCTCTTGAGAGGCAATGTAAAGGGGTGTTTCACCATCGTTATCAACCGAATTCGGGTTGGCCCCTTTGGAAATGAGACATTTTACAACGTCTACTGCACCTTTAGATGATGCTGCATAGAGAGGTGTGTTTCCCATCTTTGCTGCTTTATTTACATCAGCTTCTGCATTCAATAGAAATTCAACAACATTAAGATGACCCGCTTGAGAGGCAATGCTCAGGGTTGTGTACACATCTAAATACAACGAATTCGGGTTTGCACCTTTAGAAATTAGATATTTCACAATGTCTACATGACCTTTATATGACGCCGTATAGAGAGATGTAAGGCCATTCTTTGTTATTTTGTTTACATCTCCTCCTGCATTGACTAGACATTCAACTACATCAAGATGACCCTGAAGTGAGGCAATACTCAGGGGTGTATAACCATAGTCATCAACCGAATTCGGACTGCCCCCTTTAGAAATGAGACATTTTACAACATCTACTGCGCCATTATCTGACGCCGTGTAAAGAGGTGTCTCGCCATTCTTTGCTACTTTCTCGACATCAGCTCCTGCATTTACTAGGCACTTTACAATGTCTACGTTACCATTAGATGATGCCATATAAAGAGGTGTCCTGTCATCCTCTGCTGCTTTGTTTACATCTCCTCCTGCATTTACTACACATTCAACGACATGAAGATGACCCTCTTTAGAGGCAATGCACAGGGGTGTATATCCATTGTTATTAACCGAATTCAAGTTCGCCCCTTTAGAAAGGAGAATGTTTATAATGTCTACATCACCATTAAATGACGCCGAATGAAGGGGTGTTGCGCCATTCTTTGCTGCTCGCATTACATCAGCTCCTGCATTTACTAGATATTCAACAACATGAAGATGGCCCTCTTTTGATGCTGCGTGAAGTGGTGTGTACTTGCTGTTGTCATCCATGTTGATATTTGCACCTTTAGTTAAGAGATATTTAACTACATCGAGATGACCACAGGAAGCCGCAGTATTAAGAGAAGTTTTACCTTCATATCCCTTCAATGTCATATCTGCTCCCTGAGTTATGAGATATTTCACCACATCAAGACGACCCTGTCTTGCTGAAGTATAAATGGGTGTAGAACCATCACATGAAACTTTGTTTATATCTGCTCCAGATTTCACTAAACATTCTACAACACCAACATGGTCCGCCTCCGAAGCAAGATGAAGAGGTGTATAGCCATTGCTATTACCAATATTGGTATCTGCTCCTTCCCCGATGAGATATTGAGCAACATTCTGACGACCACTTCGAGACGCATAGTGAAGAGGGGCGTCGCCGCTTCTACTTTGCATCTCTATATCCGCCCCCAAATCAGTCATATATTTCACGAGGTCAATATGTCCTTCTTCTGAAGCGATATGGAGGGGTGTCTTTCCATCGGGATCCACACTGCATAGCATTACTAGCTTGTTATCACCTGTCTCGTCTTCCAGAATAGACCTTGTCTTTACAAGATCGCCTTCCTTCACCGCTGTAGAAAGCGCCATGTTCATTCTGTCTTCTCTATCTGTATGTGTATTCTCTCTCGCTATCTGTTTAATAAAGAAGAAGGAGAACAATTAGGCAGAAAATAAATATGTTAATTTACCGCTCTAAAACAATTCAATATTTAAATTTGAATGAACCAGGACGGGGGGGGGGGGGGGGGCGGGGGTTCACAAAGTTCCTAAGTTGAACTTAACTCTAAGTTAGACTTAAACATTATAGAGCGCGACTAGTAGCCTTAAAATAAAATATATTCAAAAGCAATAATTCAAGTATTTTAGACTTTGTATACATTCCTCGTGAAGAACATGAAATCTCTTTGGTAATAGAAAATATGAACGATTTGAATCAACATTTTATGCCTTTTAAAATAATTTTTACAAATTATTTTCATAGATGCCAATGGCGTTCCATAAATGTTTAGTCCAACTTAGAGATAAGTTCAACTTAGGATCTTTGTGAAACACTTCCCTGGATTTCAAAGAGATGATTGGTACATTGTAGTAACAAAATCGAAGAATAACAATGAATACAGACGTAAGAAAGATTTTAGTCTTGCGCTTCGTCCTATCGCAGATTAACGTAATCAAGATATTTTGAAACCACTGAAGACTATGTACTTGCTATATACAGTACATGTTCGCTGTAGATGTACATGTATATTGCTTCCACTCAAAATGTGCATCCTGTAAAAAGACATCAATTCATTATGGATAATATAAAATGACTCATCCATCACATAATCTGATGTTTTCTTTTCTGTGTGTGGCATGATAACATATATAATTTATTTAATCAAGAATAGCTGTTTTGAAGTATCAAGTATCAAGTATCAAGTTTATTTGTCTTCCAGAAAACATGTGACAAAATATAATCATTACAGTACAAGTATAATCATAAGAATACAATGTAGAATTGAGAGATTAATGTTGTGTAAAAGAAACTTTGAAATACAATTAGTTTTTATAACCCCATATTGTGAATAAGTCACACTTATATGTTGTATGCAGCATTATTTCAGATAAAAAGAGAATGTTGCCCTTTTCTACACTTTGATAGCCTATAGAGTATCTGTTTCTAATAGAAATCACCATCGCTTTCCTCATTATCTTGGTGTTTTGTTTCTTATTCTTCTCTCTTTATGTTTGGAATGATGTTGTGAATGCTAAGGAAGTAGAAGCTCCATAATTATGGACCATCATGGGTGATTAAAGTCTTAAGTAACAGAGAATTGAAAGTGGGTGCTCTGAGAGTTTTCGTGTTGGAGTGGGTATACATCAGGGATCAGTCTTGTATCCACTACTGTTGTCTACTGTGATTGATGTTTTATTAGAGTCAGTAAAGAAAGATGTTTTATTAAACATGTTGTATGCAGGTGACTTAGTTTTGATGGCTGAACCAATGCACCAGCTGAAGAGGGATTTCATGAACTGGAAGAATGCATTTCAGTGCAGGGGCCTTAAAGTCAACACTTGAAACACAAAGGTAATGAAAGCAAGTGGTTGGGCAATATCCGTGAAAGAAAACATAATAGATCATTACAGTGTATTACAGTGAGATATTGGGAAGGTTGATGATACTTGTCATCTTGGGAATACAATCAACGATGGTGGTGGATGTGAGATTGCATTGGCAAGACGATGCAGTTAGGAGGGTGAAGTTAAATGAGCTGGCCTTGATCCTAGCTGATAGAACGTTTACAATGAGAATATAAGGCAGGAATTAAGGATTGTGTTAGAAAAGCGATGATATATGATTAAGAAACCTGGAATGTGAAGACAGTACAAGAAGGTACATGTATCTTAAAGGGAACCAAAACCTTCATACTACTTTTATTGTAAAGTTTAAGATTTTTTGAATACTACAGTGAAAATTTGAACAAAATCGGGCAAGAAATAAGAAGGTTAAGGTTTTTCGAAATGACTAGTCACTAGAGGGCGATATTCAATTTGATGACATCAGTTGTAGACAACTCTCCGTGCTTTTCGTACATCAAATTTCATGTTTTTCCTTCCTTCTTGTGATTGAGATAATCTACTCCCCCGAAAGCAACGTATAGAATGCAAAATGATATTCTATTTTACATGTTATGAAGTCGGATCAAGAACACAAATAAATACGAAGAAAACGGTTTGTGCTGGCAATGTTCCAGCGAGCGAAAATGAGACAACCGGAGCAATTTGAAATTTTGTCCCAGTCTTGATAAAGTTACAAGCACTGTACACAGAAAGATGTATATGAGACTACCCACACACGTGCGCGACACGTGCGTTATATATATATCAGGTCCAAATAGATGTAATAATTTACCAAATGTATCAATTAGTAGGCGGTTTCTCAAACCTTTTCCTTAAAGGTAAAGACCTGTTTTGGAAACGCCCCCTCTCAAAAAATGAAATGGAAGCTCTTATTACCAATCATGTGAAAGAATATGTTTTGACTAATACGTGATTATTGGTCAAAACATATTCTTTCACATGATTGGTAATAAGAGCTTCCATTTTATTGTTTGAGAGGGGGCGTTTTCAAAACAGGTCTTTACCTTTAAGGAAAAGGTTTGAGAACCCTGCTCTACACTACTGATATTATTGATGTTATCAATGCGTTATCATGATAATTCAACTGCAGGTAATAGAAAATGAAACTATTATATCAGGGGATTTGCCTTTAATGGTAGCCAGGCAACCAGACAATTGGATACATATCTCTTGCCTAGTGAGACGGAGAAGCCATTATGTATATTGCAAATCATACATCTAGCATGGGAATATTAGAGGAGTACTTATGGTACTGGATAGTGTATTAGAGAGGGTGTGCATGGGCATGCAAGATAGTGTACCAGATACCTATTGGAATAAAAGCATGTCCAGGCATAGCCCCACCCCTCTCTTTCTTTTTTTCTCTCTCTCTCTCTCTCATTTCCCATATCTCTCTTTTACTCTCCCCTTTCTTTTTCTTGCTTTCTCTCTATCTCACTCTCCCCGTTCTCTCTTTATCTCCCCCTCTCTCTCTGTCTTTCTCTCATACTTTCTTTCATGCCCATACCAACCCTCTCAAATGTATGATTTTAAATATATGAGGAACTACAGCTATTAAATGAAATCTGCCAAATATGTATGGTAACGAGAAGAAAAACAAGAGATTTATGTAATTAGGGCATCAATTCTAATTTGCACGATTTAGGAGAGGTTCTGTTTACTTTATGATTTGCTCTATCTGACGAGAATCCATATTGAGGGGCCTTGCATGTACCCAGAAAACCAGACAATTGAATACATATCTCGTGCCCAGTGAGATGGAGAAAACTGTATGTTGTGAATCATATATTTGGCATGGTAGGGGTAACAGAGTGTCTTTCAGAGGGGGGGGGGGGGGGGGAGGGGAAGGGGCACCAACCTAATGGGGCATTGCCTGGAAAGAAGGGGAACCTATAAGGGATAATCTCAAAGCGTAAAATTACAAATGTGAGATCTACAAGAGTGTCTCTTTAAGTGGTCTAAGCTATTGTGAGTGACGGTCTGAAAATAGCTCTCAATCATTTATATTGGAGCACATGTTAGGGACATTATGACACGTCTATTGTTTCTAGGGACATAAGGGGGAATAATAATGTCTTGTCATAGCACGTATGGTTATTATTTTTCAGTCTTTTTTGTATAACTTGAATGACATTTGGAAATGGAAATGCATTTGCATTGAGTTTGAAAACTCCTGCCCATCTGACCGTGATTAAATTCCTTAAAACCCCTGAGCTTCCGGCTCTGCCCCCCTAGACCCCACCTAGGGCCCTATAGGCGGACGGCTGGATGCTAATCTGACGGTAATTTAATGCTCAAAACCCCTGAGCTTCTAGGGTCTCGGCCCCCACGCCAATCAGTGTCCTGCTAGTGTCCTGCCAGTGTCACAAATAAGGTATAAAAATATGCTCAATTTATTGCCCAAAATCCCTGAGCTTCTGGGGGCTCCGCCCCCTGGACCCCACGCCAATTCGTGACCTGCCAGTGTCACAAATAAGGTATCAAAATATGATCATCTGACGGTAATCTATTGTATAAAACCCCTGAGCTTCTGGGGGCTCCGCCCCCTGGACCCCACATCAATTTGTGTCCTGCCAGTGTCACAAATAAGGTATCAGAATATGCTAATGTGACAGTAATTACATGCCTATACCCCCTGAGCTTATGGAGGCTCTACCCCTTTCACAATTTCAAATGTACCCCCCCCCCCTAAGAAATCCTGGATCCGCGCCTGCGTGTCGCAGTCACATGTTACTACCAATTCTCGAAGCGATTAACTTAATAAGTATCAATATACCGGTACGAAGAAAATGAGATTAGATCAGCACGTTATTGTGTCCTTGGTTGAGTTGCGATCGGAAAGATCGAGTGCGGTCGAGAAGTGCTCGGGATGTGATCGAGAAGTGGCTCGGGATGTGATCAAGACACCTGATCCACATAATATCCTAGGTAGAACTATGGATCCTTGCGCTCGATATCCATAGGTACGACCTAGGCCAGTGCCGTCTCCCCGTCTTTAGTGACTCAGGATCCAAGGTCTAACCAGGGAAACTGGTCTCCGTATAGCAGCATGTACATTACGCTGCTATTGCTTACCACCGCGTTGTCAACGGTGGATGGAAGCATCGAAAACACAACCAGAGCTCCAGCGCCGCAAATCGGCGCACAGTGCACCCCCGATAGCCTGGGCTGGGCGACTCGCTGCTAGCGCTGGCCATGAATTGGCCGGCAGGGCATTCAGTGACCTGTTTTCATGTCGACTTGGGAGGTAAAAAACCTCATGAAGACCGCGTTTTTCTGTGTTTTATTGAGTTACATCGCTACTATCCCAGTGGTAAGTCCTTATTCACCATTTGGTATAACCTAGATATAAAATAAGAATATAAAAAAAATGTAAAAATGGAGATTATCCACCTCCAATAAGATGTGATTTCGTGGACAATCCCATCCCGGCCCGGCCCATGCAGTGCGGTGCCAGTGCAGTT